AAAAAAAAAAAAAAAAAAGAATAGATTTAAATCACTTTTTAAAAAAATTTATTTATTTATTGATTGACTGATTGATTGATTGATTGGTACCGGGCATTGAACTCAGGTCCTTGCGCTTGCAAGGCAGGTCACTGAACCGCTGAGCTAAATCCCCAGCCTAAATCACTTTTGAATCCAGTCCTTGTGATACCCCAAGGCACTTCTCACACCAGGGCTTCCTCAACCTAGGACTAGGAATCACTGAAGTTGCAGTTTCTGGCTTCTTTACAGCTTGTACTTTACAATTTTAACACAGAATTTAGAGAGCCGTGAAGGACCAAGCTCCTTCTCGCAAAGCCAGCTGGGGCCTGGGAGATGGTGATGTGCTGATTTCCAGGAAGATGAGGAGAGGGAAGAGGAGGAGAAAGAGAAGGAAGAGGAGAAAGAAGAACAGATGAAAGAGGAAGAAGAGATGAAAGGGGAGAGGCAGTGGCAGCCTCTCAGGTACAGGCTTGCTCTGGAAAAGCCTCAAGTTTGAGAATTCATTTGTCAATAAAAAGCTTGAGCGAAGATGACTAGTTAGAACCTTTAAGGGCACTCATTACCTAAGAACTGTAATGAGGTAGCAGTTTACAGTAAAAGAGGTGATTAGCCTGGCGCAGGGGCTCTCACTTTCCCTCCCAGCTACTTGGGAGGCCAAGGGGTGAGGATCATTTGAACCCAGGAGTTTGAAGGCAGGCCTGGGCAATACAAGGGGAGGACCTGTCTCCAAAACACAAAAGAAGGCGCCAAGTGCACTGAGAGCGCAGCGAGCATGGGCGTTACTGGAGGACTCCGCGGAAATACCACTGGCCAGGCCGAAATGTTTTCGGTTCGGTAGGTCCAGGGATGGGCCCGAGAAGCTGTTTCCACTACGGTTAGCAACGATCCTGACACAGCTGCCCCAGGGACCTTGCTGGGCCTCAGAAGCTGCGTGTAACTAGAGGCTCAATCAGGTGACCTGCTTTCCTCTTCCAAGAAGCACAGTGGACTTCAGCGCTCCTGTCTAAGTGCCCAGCAACCAGGTCCCCCACAAGCAGGTGTTTTCAATTAATTACCATCTTCAGGCTTGTTCCACCCAAGTAAGCATGCTGTTTCTCAAGTTATTTTTAGTTCTTGTTAATAATTTTTTTAAGGACACAAATGCAAAGACATTTTTTTAAAAAGTCTTTGAAGTTTAAGAACGACGTCTATGTCAGATGCAAAGTAAAACAAATCAAACCAACTCTAAGATCTAAGCAACCCTGTAACACTTTAGATTGGAGGAGCATAGGAATCAAAACGCCACAGCTCAAATTCCAACAAACCCCACTTAATTCACCTTCACAAATAAAAATCCTATTTATCCAAATCTCTTACAGTTGAAACACGGTAAGATTAAGGCTGCCACTTATTTTTGTTAAAGAAGTCCATTCTCCCAGTAATGCATATAACTGTACGGTCTACCTAGACTGTACCAATAAATTAAAAAAAAAAGAAGTCCATTCTTTTCTTTTATCTCTGAAGCCCCTATGTCCTGCATGAAATGTTCTACAGAAGACAGGAAAGGAAGGGCAGATGTGTGATGAGAACAGGTGGACCAACCTTGTCCCCCAATGCTGTGCATGGCCATGGCCACTTACGATGCACTTGGACAAGGAGAGATAGTTCACCCAAGGGATCGGCAGCTGTGACACAGAATCTGGACTCACCAACTGGATATTCTAGAAATATCCCCCAGGATCCCAAACATTAGCAAAGTCCTTCTGTGACTTATTGGAGGAACAAATTTTTGCTCCTCAGTCAGGACTACTCCCTCCTTCCTTCTCCTTTAGGCAAGGCCCCTGCACAGCCTCCAATAAGAAACTTCCCATACAGGCGTGGGTGGGAGAAACAGATAGGACAGCACAGGGTTTGCCGGCAACAGCAGATGAGGAAGACCGTGAGCAACGCAGCACTGTGCGAGGTGCCACCTGCAACGTCCCAGGGACTGGGTGTCCCTGCCATCCTGACTCTCTCACACAATGTGGGGCTCAGGATGTGGACGAGAAGTTACACTCTTGGCAGAACAGTTGCTCATTCCACATAACTTAGTACCACCCCAAGACTGGGAATACTGTCGGGTGTCATTGAACAATATCTTAAACATCCTTATGCAGGTTTTAAAAAGATTCCTAATTAAGAAGGTCACTAACCCTTCACACTAACCAGTATATTAAATATATACAAAATATACAAGCCAGGTACCCAAATACATTGGGACACTTTAAGAGAGTTAAGAGAAGGAATATGTTAAGGTCAATGCACTTTTTTTTTTTTTTTGTCACTATCAGTAGCAGCATGGACATAACAAGGAGCTCTGCTAAGTGTTTTCCCTAAGCTATCTCACACTGGATTGGTTGCCTGCTTCAAATTCTGGTCCCACACATTCCTATTCATGTCAGCTAACGTCACTGCACCTGTTTTCCACCTGCAAAGTGGGACCGGCAATATCAACAACCTTCTAGAGGAGTTGGGAGATTTGAGGGTTCCTTTGTGTAGAGCTTAGCTTCAGTACATTTGTATCAAGTATTTTTACAATAACCCTAGGGTGCACGTACATTGTCCTACGTCTCATCCACTATTTAGTTTAATTATCCCTAGAACAGTTTACACTCCTAGGAAAATGACTCTTTTAGCTAATGTGTAATAGCACTGCAGCAAAAAAAAAGGGGTCTGACATTTGGAAGAAGTCACCCTCTTAAAAAAAACAACACAAAACCCAAATCCCAAATGCTTAAGAAAATAACAAAAGCCACCAGCATAGGACAAAAAGAGTAACTGTGAACAGAAAATCATCACTGGATTCAGTGTGCGGTCTGGGAGTCCCATGGAGTTCTTACCTGGCGCTCCTGTGTACATGATGGAAAAGACATTTATCGCTATGGTAGCAGCATAGAAGACAGGAAGTGCCCGGAGGCCATTGGGGACAGGGTCCTCCTGTGTAACAGAGATATAAACTGTGAGGTCAGGACTAAAGAGTATCTTTCCCAAGGCAATGTTATGACACAGATCACTGCTAGAGTCTTCCCAAGCCCCATTGTAGTCCTGTGAACTGCTGTGCATTTACAGAAAGGGCTGGGCCAGGATGCCCTCCCACACAACAGTTTCTAAGGGCCCACTGTTTGGAGTGCACTCATAAGAGCCCCGGCGTCACATGAGCTAATGGCAGGGGCAGAAACAGAAGCGAATTGTGAGGGGAGCTCAGCAAATCCTTCCATGAAAACCGTGTGGCTGTCCACTCTAGCTGAGCCCACATCTGCCCCAGAACGTCTACCCTGGGAAAATACTTGGAGGCCAACTCTGAGGATTCTCTGAGTCAAATAACTCAAAGATCACTGCCTCACTGTTATGTTTTATGTGACTATAACACAGCATATCTTAGCTACATTGAGTGTATGAATATTTTTCCACACGCTAAGTAAGATCTTCCAAATCTTTTTGTAAGGCATAGTATTTGACCTTCAACTATTAGGTTTGGAAGAATTGTGGGTTCTCTGTCTTCAAAAGAACAGAAACCATCAGGAAGGAAAGAATAATTGCACTTTTCCTAAATCTCAAAGTAGTCTTGAGTTTGTTTTTCAACTCCATAATCTTACGCTTTTTTGTGGTGCCAGGGATCACACCAGGGTCTGTTACACATGCCAGGCAAGTGCCACTCCTCTACACCACCAGCCTCAAGTAACCTACTCGCAAAACTCAGGTGACAAGTGTGTCTCTGAGGCCTCTCTCCTTTTCACTCCTGTTCCTCCTTCACTCTGTCCATCAGCCATGGCCTGTCGCACATCCCAGCTTCCATCACCCAACAAACATTTCACAAATGTTTTAAACTGCTAAGCATTATGCTGAGCCCTGGAGACCCAGAGTGTCTGAGACGGTTGCTTCTACCTCACCGATCTCACAGTGGAGCAGCACACAGGCAAAAAAGCAAGGAACGAAACACTGGGCAGGGGGCCAAGCAGGGAATGAGAAAGCAGCGCGCTGAGGGGGGAAGGCAGGGGACCCATGGAGTCCGGTGGGAAGGCTTCTTAGGCGGGAACAGTGAAGGCCGAACAGGAGGGCGCCAGGTGAGAACAGGTTCCAGGCAGAGGAAATAGGGTGGCAGCTGGCAGGCAAGAGAGGTCTGCACCTTCCGAGCTGTAAACAGATATTACTGTGGCTGCCTGGAGCCCGGGAAGGGAGTGATGCGAAATGATGACCGCAAGTCTGTACTTACTCAAGAGAATGAGCCCTTCAGCAGACTACTGGGCGATGCTAGAAGAGCTGTGTTTAAAGCTCTGTATTAGTGATGTGCAAAGAAGTGTTCATTTAGCATTCCCCAGGGATGTGTGTGGAAATGTTCCCAGACGCCCAGGGCATGCCCGAGACCGTGAGGGGGGCACCGATCCCCGTCTATGCTATGTTTTCCCTAGACATCCGCCTGCAGGACAAGTTTATCAGTTAGGTACAGTCAGAGGTTAACAACAATAACCAAAGTTCCGTGAGTGTGGTTTCTCCCTCTCCAAGCATTTCATTAACTCCACTCAGTTTTTCCTCGTGGTGACAATGTGAGGCGATATTCTGGCCATGTTGTGAGGTGAAGCGAGACGGACGACACAGGCACTGTGCGACGCAGCACTGGGACGTTATGTTAGGTGAAAGCAGCTAGGCACATAAAGTCAAGAACTTTACGTTTTCACTTATCTGTGGAAGCTAAAATTGTTGACCAAACAGAAGTAGAGAGGGTAGGAATCGGGGGGCAGAGGGTGGATAGTAGCTATCAAAATACAGTTAGGTGAGGAAACAGATTGCTGTAGTTGAATTTTGAATGTCCCCAGAGGCCCATGTGTTGAAGGCCTGGTCCTCAGTCATAGCACTAATGGGAGGAGGGGGAACTTTGAGGAAGGTCCTTGTAGCAGGAAGTCCTTGCTTCCCAGCCACCAGGTGAACAGGCCCCTTCACCACACGTTTTCTGCCACGCTACACTCATAGTTTCAACTCAATGAGGTCATGTGACCATGGACCAAAACCGCTGAAACCATGAGCCAAGATATAGCTTTGTTTATTTTAGGTATTTTGTCTGATGATATAAAGCTGACTAACACATAGTTCTAATGTTATATAACAGAATAGGGCAAACATAGTCTACCATGACTCATTTCAAAACAATCAGAGAAAAGTCAGGAGATTCCCGATACACAGATATGTACTGAGAAGATGGATGCTAGTTACCTTTGATCATTTCATGTTGTATATGCATCAAAACACAACACTCCATGAATGAGTACAAATATTATTTGTAGATTTAGAAAATTAAATTAGAATACAATTTAAAAAGAAAAAGATACTGCAACTGTCTCTTAAGATAAAAACAATAGTTTTTTCCAGAACATTGATCTCAGCAAATTCTAATTTTAATCTTATTTCTTTTTAGATAAAATGTACCCTGGTACAATATTTCCTTCTTTGTATCTTTCCCTCACGCAAAGTCAATGATCCAGTTTTCTTTTTCTATTAAAAAAATAGAAAACCCCTTCACATTTGGGTAAGGAGTGTCTCCAACTGTCTTTAATGACAATGGACAGGGAAACCTAACAGTCTCATCCCATTCTGTTCAACATTCAGGAAATAATTACCTGCCCTGATTGAAGCTGAATGCAGCTCCTGGGAGAGCTGACTGATGAACTCAACCACAGAGCCAGGTAGCACTACTGGAGGGACTTGGGGTACTTCTCGTGGGCATGCGTGGTGACTCTCAGTAACAGCTGACTCTACTCGGTGCGGCAACTTTAGAGTCCAAGGTGCTGGGCCTTAGCCACACAAAGACAGTTCTCCCTCCATCTCTCCAACAGTTAGCTCCTAACCAAAAATAGTTCTAATATGTAAGAGAAAATAATGGCCTCACTTACCTTTTTTAAGATGAACATTCTGATCAGTATAAACAGCACGCCAGACATGAAACCAGACAACAGTGGAGATATAAACCAAGAAGCAACTGAACGATTAAAAAAAAAGTCTGGTGAATGTTAAATTCATACATAACTGAGGCCATACTTATATAATACAGTGATAACAATGCACACTGTTGGATGCTCGTAGATACTCCCACAATTGTTCACTTTAATGCAAAACTATCCGACCGTCTTGGCCTCTTCCTATTGTTCTGCTGGTACCCAAGCCCAGGTACTCCAGGACTGCCTTGTCCCACCCCGGCTCCTCCCAGTGCTTTTCCATGACCAGGCCTGGCAGGCAGATTCCTTGGCTTCCCAAAGGACCCCATTCACCTGCTTTTTAAAATCCATCTCTACAGACCCAGCACCAGATCAGACATTTAGGTTTACTCAAAAGGTAGGCCACCTCCCACCGTGGCTCTAAGTCCAGCCTGGTACGGTCATTACTGGCATCTAACCAAGGCAGCTCTCCACCTTCTGGCTTCTCTCCGGGGAGCTCCCTGCTGTGGCTAACACTGGACCCATGTGGGGAGGGGGTCACAAACCAGCTATGCTTGTAGCTCTACCCTGAGGATCCCAATCGATTGAAATAGTCTTGAATGAGGTCTGGGCATTTTTAAACTGCACCCCAGGGACTGCCCAAGTGCTGCCAGGGTTGAGAGCCAGTATGCCAGAAGCCGGAGATATAAGATGGTTTTCTTGGTGGCCTGTGACCCTGAGAGGCAGGTCAGGGATCCAGTCCGCTCTCCCATGTACATCCATGTTTACAGCAGCACCATTCATAATAGCTAAACCTCAGGGTCACCTATATGTCTACCAGCAGATGAGCGGAGAAAGAAACTGGAGAATGTATATACAGTGGAATACTTCTCTGTTGCAAAGAAGGATAAACCTGACTCATTTACAGGAAATGGTTCTGGTGAAAGAATGAACAATCCAGGGACAGAGGTAGTGAAAAAGAGCATTCTTCACAGTATGTGGGTTGGTATGTCCAGGATTGAGCGACTTATCCTTTGCTATAAGAGTAGCCAGGAAGTCAGCAGTTAGAACTGTAATACAGGTACAGGCCTGTCTTGGCTCCCTCTGGGAGCTTCCTCCCAGGGTGGTGGGGTGGTAAATAGCCCTGGCCTCCTTTTAAGGCTTCCTCATGACCACAGGTGCAGACTTCAAGATTCAAGGCACTTTCCTTACTTGGGCCTAGTCTTTCTCTGAACTTTTAGACTGATTTCAATCAAATAAATTTCTCTTCTGCCTGGGGAGAACAAATAGGTATTGCTTTTCAAAGCTGAATGAAGATGTAACATTATAAAAGTGGTCTGAAAAACTAACACACAAGGTTCACAATCTCCACTCATAGAATGTTGAAGGTAAAATGCATCACCCATACCACAGAGGGCTTCTAAATCTTAACTTATGAAGGAAGAAAAGACATTATAAAAGTAACTTGTTGTAAAACTTACTCTAGTAAAGGTAAATTTTCCTTCTTATAGGTAAAAGAAAATGGCAATTACCAATCTTGACAAGCTCCATCCATTGTACACCTTTTGTACCAATTGCAACAAGTGAGAATCCTATAGTAGAACCAACAATGCAATGGGTTCCTGAGATTGGGAGTCTCAGGAAGGATGCAATCAGCTGCCAAACAGCTGAACCTGTAGGATGAAAGATTTAAAAAATCAGACACACGGTAGAGTCTTAGCCACCAAGGGGAGAAATCCAAATTGTTATTCTCCACAACATCTCCCTGAGCTCTATTTTCCATGGACTATTTCTCTATAACATGCAAAAGTCCTAACCAAAAAACATTTGACCCAGCTGTGCCCCTTCTAAGTGACTTCTCAAAAGAGTTAAAGACATCATATTACAGTGACACACACACACCCATGGTTATAGTAGCGCAACTTATAATAGCTCAATGTTGGAAGCAGCCTGTATGTCCATCAGCAGATGGATGGAGAGATAAAATGTGACATTTATACACAATGGAGTACTACTCTGCCATAAAGGATAAATGAGTCCTTTGTAGCAAAACGGATGTATCTTGAAATCACAATGTTAAGTATATCAGACACACAAACTCAAATATCACGTGGATTCTCTTATATGAGAAACTCAGTATATAAATAAAGTACAAAATAAAAGATGAATAATAAGAAAGGAGAGAGAGAAAAGTTATTGTAATCCAGCACAGACAACATATATAAAAGTGTACCTGTCTTCAGTGTTTTATGTTTTTTGGCTTATTAGTCTGGTTGTTAATCTGTATGCATGAGAATTAACTTTCTAAGAACTTACAAATAAATTAATCCTATGTTGGCAAAAGTGGGTGGTGAGGAAGGGGAAAAAAAAGAATCAAGATGTGTATGTACGTGCACCAATTCTCGCAATCACACACTGTGCAGAAGGGACTACTCCCCCATCTTCTGAGTGGAAGGGGTCTCCTGGTGCTTGTGTGGCAATCACCTCTGCCACAAAAATGTGAGAAGCAGCTGATGAACCTGTTCTGACATGAAGCTTGGCCAAAACCAATGAGGGATTAAAGACTTGCTATGCACAGAGATACGAAAGTCAACACACTGAGAAAAGTGTTAAAAGTTCTGTCTTCTCGTCACAGGGTGGGAAGGCTGGTGGTTGGCTTTTGATTTGTGCCACTTAAAAGAGAAAAACTGTGATGCTGAACCCAAAGCTGGGGATCTACACATAGTCTTGCTCAGTGTGTTGGGAGCCCTAGTTTGGCTTTGTCTCTTTTTACCTCTGTCCACCACTCTTTCCCAAGCTTAGTATTTTCTAGGCTACAGTTCATGTGGCTATTTTCATAAGCAGATCAGATTTTGCAGTGAGTATTAAAAGCATCAGCTGGGACAGATCACTTTCAGAAGCAGTTGCTGAAAAGCCTGTACAGAACCGTAAGGGAACAAAGGATCTGGCTGATAAGCTAGGCACGCTATTAACACCAATGTTAATCTGGAGACTTGGTTGCCTGGCAGCCGAAGCAGCACTTCTCAGCAGACCTCTGGCGTCTCCTTCAAAGGTGTCTTGAGTTGCAGAGGAATTCTTCATGGTTGCACTGGTCCCTGTGTGCGGTGACACAGACATGTGCTCAGTGAGGGCTGGTGCTGGCCTTTAAGCCAAGGCCAGCTGTGACCCCATGTCCACCCCTGCATCCTGTGCTGCCTGAGGACCCGGCTCCAGGGCAGCACCCACTTCCCCGGGGCCAATTCCCTGGGCTTTACAGCTAAGCCCTGGGCACCACAGGGACCGGCTGCTCTAAAAATAAAGTCAGAGTTTGGAGTGTGTTTTATAGCCCAGAAACAACTTTCCGCTTTAACATTCTTACAAAAAATGGAAATCTCCCATGTCGGAGAATAGTATAAACTCACTGCAGGACATTCCGCAGGAGACTGTCCTTCCTGGAAACTGCTACCCCTTCTATGGCTGGCTCTGTGAAATACGTCCTGGAGAGGACAGAGCGCAGGAGAAGCGAGGAGTGTGGGTACCGTCTGCTCTGGGGTGAAGCAGGGAGCAACGGGGACACTGGGGAAGAGGAGAGGCACAGCTGGAAGGGAGGACAGTGGGAGGCGGGAGTTCACCTCAGAACCGCTGACCCCGCATGGGTTACACTCGAACACAGAGGGCAAAGAGATGTTTCAAAGAGGAAAGGGATTCACTATGGGATAAAGGTTCAAGATAAAACCTAGGGAAAATGAGGAGATGGCCTCCTGAGGCAACAGGTTCGATGGATAGAGGCGACAGGTAGTGTGGGAAAGGGCAGAGGTACAGCAGGAACAGCAGGGGTAGGCAAGCAGCAGCCGAAAAGGACTTGGCAGTCCTGGGTGCCAAGCTCTCTCAGGAGATGGCTTGTTCAAGTTGGCTGGAGATTTCCACGAGAAGAGGCTGAATTTTGAATTCTCAGGAGGTTTTTGGAACCAGTGGTGGTTTTATTCAGAGTATACTCATGATTTAGGGCTCAGCAAAAGACAACTTGTTCAGGGAGTTTAGCTAGCACGAATAATGTCTTCTACCCAACCAATTGAACTCTAACACCAGCCATGAGGAAGCACAGAGGCCTGTGGGCTTGAGGAGAACTTACTAAAGAAAAAAGAGAAAATGGAATAAAAGGGTAAGGGAAGGGTGTGGGGAGAGAGAAATGGGGGTAAATGGAGGTCGAATTTAGAAGAGGAAGACTGGGAGAATTCAGGCATCTGAACAAAATTAGCTTTGGTTTGGGCCAATAATGATTACCATCTTAAATTTACAAAGCCCCTATTATCTAGGAATTCAATTTAAAAAATCTAGGTAACTTAAACAAATTCTTAACAAAATAGGCTTTGAGATTCATCTAATCACACACACACACACACACACACACACACACACACACACTCAAAATCAACCATGTTATTCAAGCAAAAGTTCAAATTGCTTTAGCAAACCCAAATGCTAGTTGAGGTAGAATCTTTCATTCCTTCAGTAGCCACAGGCCATGCGTGGGAAAACTGAAAAACAACTGGACATGCTGTATTGACCACATGAAAAAGCTAGCAGTGAAAATTATAAAGTTCACCAAGCTTTCTGCCTAGATGAATCCTCAGTAACAAAACTAATAAGCACAACAATTTCTGGGAAGTTATACCCAGCAAGATGAAAAATTTCAGTGAAGATTGAATTTTGCCATTTTTTGTTTCTCCTGTATTTTCAATTCATCTTGCCCACGTCACCTCAATGAGAAAAATCCTAATTTCAGGTTAATATGATTGAATCTCATGTATCTATCACAAATATCAAAGATGGATTCTACAAGCAGCAGCTATCTTCCTAAGGGATGTTTCAATTCTGTCTCACTACCATGAGAAATACACGTTCAGGGAAGGTAAGTAAAAAATCTTTTGACAGCAGTTGGAATGAAAATGCTCTTGACTATTACAATTAGTAACACTGAACACCTTAGTTTATAGGCCTGCTTCTCAGTGACTTGCTGGCACAGGAGGGAGGTGGGCCACCTTCCATTTGGCAAATGGTCTCTACATTATGGGTGCTGAAGGAATGCTAGTGACACCATAAATAACTAGGGACCTGTAGAATGCATCTGTGTTCTAGGCACACCAGCATCTTACCTCCTACTGCAGGACTCTTCCTACAAAAGGACATGTCCTGTTGGGAGCAGAAGGTGGCAGAATTCCTCTCTAACCCTCTTCTCCCTAACCAAGTTACCCGTAAAGGTCAGCTGTCTGTTGTGACGTCATCTCTACCTAGAGGCAAGCAGAGAAAAAGTCCTGTCAGCTGCACTCTGCCTATTGCTGCCTGGGCTGTTGCCTTGCCCTTGCCGTGAGGACAGTAAGCTAAGTGACCCCATAGTGCTTTGAATCTATCATTCTGGGCCAGGAAGAAACCACACTGTCCAACCAGCCAATCTGCTAATTCACACAGCTCACTCACTTCCATTTATTTCTTCTTCCACACAATGTAAAACTACCAATAAAAGATTGGACTAAAGAAAACACACATATGAAACAGAGCTCCTATAGATAGCATTGAAAAATCCAAACCAAAAGCAAAGTCAACAGAAGGATTGCAGCTGGGGATTTGGCTCAGTGGCTCCAGTGCCTGCCTCGCAAGCACAAGGACCTGAGTTCAATCCCTGGTACCAAAAAAAAAAAAAAAAAAAAA